TCTCAGACGTTTCGAAATGTGCTCATTCGGTCTCGCGTGAAAAAACTGCATCTAATGAGCACATTTCGAAACGTCTGAGACAGCAAAAACAATGAACAAAAGTTAATTTTATTGAAAAATCGAGTGTTTTTCATCCATATGAAAAAAAAATGAATTTTCGAGCATTTTTTTCGATTTTCCAAGTCGTTTTTTTGAACTTTTTATCTTAAAACGATGGCCCAAAATATTTTGAAATATGTAGTTTTGTACAGCTTGACGAGCTCTATGGAACTATGTAAAAATATCCAAGAAAAATGTTTTACTCCATTTTTGATTAACTGGCACCTTACTTTTCTTCACCAAAAAAGTGTCAAATTTCTGAAAATTTCTTAAGTGCGATATGAAAACGTCTTCATAACCTTTACTATTTAGTGCCAATAAATCCAGTTTTTGACGCGCTTTAATTTGGTATAAATACATTGTGATATTATCTGTTCTTTAGGTTCTAGAGGGAGGGAGGCAAAAGTTATGTGCCACCCTGCAGATGAAGAGTACACTCTAAAAGCACAAGCGACTTCATCACAGTGTCTACAGAAAAAAATTGTCACCCAGAAAATAAATCCACAACATGTCTTCGCAGAGTCTTTCTAATGTCTACTATGTGTCTTCTAAAGAGACGTTTACAATGCGCCTTTCGCAGTAAGTTACATTAGATGTCTTCAGAAAATTCGAAAAAAGACGTATTCATTCGGCTAAACAAAGAGAAGAGCTTTTCTAGTTTCTTCCTTCGTCTATAATTTAAGATTTAAATGGAAAAGCGGGTATTAAAAAAACTGAAAGCATGCAGGAAATAGTCTTGTCAATGTGCAACAGAGCGTTTCTCAATTTGAAAATGAGACAGTTTCTTCTGCTTTTTCAAATGAAACGTTACTAAACGAATTAAAGCTAATTTGGGTTCCCGAGAGCGAAGATATTAAAACAAGTGTCTTCCACAGGAAAATCGGTAGGACTTATTTTTTTTGTTTTTCTTAATAATCAAAAAGATTCAAGGTCTAAAACAAAGAATGGTATATCTACTGTTGCATGGAGAACGGATTAAGCACACTTCCAGTCAAGGTGTTTTTCATCTTTGAAAAGTTGCTACATACTCTTATTGGAGCTCTCTTAGAAATACCTGCAATATGTTTTATGATCTAAATCCACTCAGTTGAAAATGCAGCTGATTCTCATTCTAATTCCATCTCGTCGTTTTCTTATTTTCAGTGAGAAAAATATTTTTTCATTTGCCTATTTTAATTGTACAGATAATTATATAATCATACGTTTAAGAAAATCTATGTTTTACTACGAATAATTTCTCAATTAATATTTAATTTTCAGAATTTGAAATCAATTGTTTGTTTTTCCAATGTATCTATTGTTCTATTTTCTTGGTATTTTTAATCTATTATTAGCATTTGCTCAACAGCCTAGACTAATTGTAGAAATGAAAACAAATACTTCAATTATTCGTGTACATCAATGCGGTTCTAGACGAGATTTATGTTTAAATACTCGAGGAACAAATACGATACAATCGTCGATAAATATGGACGAACCACTTAGAGCAATCCATGAGTATAGTAATACAATGTTATGCAGTTTACTATGGAATCCAGAACCCAATAATGTACTTGTTATTGGACTCGGCGGTGGAGTAATTCCCCGAACATTTCGTTATTACTATCCGAAAACAATAATTGATATTGTTGAAATTGATCCGAATATTGTACAAATAGCCAAAGAACATTTTCTATTTAAGATCGATCCGTTAATGAATCTATTTGTAAATGATGCAAGACTTTATATTCGATCTGTGATTAACCAACAACTGAAAACATATGATATTATTTTTTCTGATGCATTTACAGAATCTGATGAAGGAACACCATTTCATTTAAAGACTGTTGAATATTTGTTTGAATTGAAACAGTTATTATCAAAACAGAATGGTATTTTAGTAACATATATCCAGAAAGATTCTTCTGATTATTATAATAGTCGACAAACATATTCATTTGTTTTCAAATATAATTATGCTTTTAGTGGGCAAACATGTAACTGTGTCGTTCTTGTATCATACGATAATCATTTGTTTCCAATATTAACACAAACGCAAATGATAAATAACGCAATTATAATTCAAGAAAACAAACAATTTATGTTCAATTTGACAATGGAAGCACTTAAATTAGAAAATGATGAACATAAATGGAGCAATAGCGGAACTGTGCTCAATGATAGAGCTAGATGTAATTGCCACTTTAAATACAAATTTTCCATGACGCGATTCATAATCACGATCAGTGTCTTATTTAGTTGTTGCTACTATTGTGGGAAAAAACTATTTTTCATTCTATTCGGCAATAGCAAACGACATAAAGCCTAGTGGAAGTGTTTATTGATTCGATAAACAGGATTATACAATTACCCATCCGAAAAGACCTAAACAAGTTGTTTTTTTAAAGAAACATTTTTTCAGAAGAGAAAATAAGATGTGTAAATAATAATAAAATTTGCTCTGAAATCACCGACCAATCATTTTAAACTACTACTTGATTCCTTTTACTTGTTGCGCTTTACTTCTACCGTGCATTTTACGTTGACCTGATTTGATTGATAGTGTTCTTCTAAGATTCACTCAGTCTCCGTAACAATGATAAGGTAAGGTAGAGTGAAACTAATGATGGATGGCTTGTAACCAATTTCTTTCCAATGCCACGCGGGCATAAATAAATTTTCAAATTAAAAATTCACATAGATTTTAGAAAAAATATTCGCTTTCAGTAGGCAACTTGCAATTGCTCAGCCATCATTAGACGCACGAAAAAAGTTTCTGATAGTTTGGGTTAGTCCGGTGAACTGCGTCGAATGATAGTGTCTGTTTGACAATAAGTTTTTCAGCCTCTGAAGTTTATCTGGAGGGGACCCCAGGCTTCAACCGCATCAACCACCGACGTAAAGCCCAATAAAAGCGTTTATTGATTCGGTAAATAGGATTATACAGTTACCCATCCGGAAACAGCTAAAAAACTGTTTAAAGAAACATTTTTCGGCAGAGAAAATAAGATTTGTAAACAACTCCATCCCGATCATGCAGAGCTGTAACCCCCAAATCACAGAATGTCAGCCCTAAGACTCCAGTAGAGTGCGAAATGGTGCCCAAATCGCTTAAAACTGAAGTCTGGCGTGACTCCCGTTTTGAATAGGACACTTTAGACTTCCTCTCATGAAAAAAAACATATTTTTATTATAAGCTTCTTAGAAGCAACTTAACTTTCTAAAGATCCTCTGGAAAGTTTACTCTGAAAGAAGATTTGCAGAATGCCTTTCATGATGAAAAGATGCGGTTAGGTCTTGGCTTCCCGTTGGGCAAGACCGTAAGACTGTATTGCTTTTCTGTCAGACGTTATTCAGATGCCGTAAAAATTTCATCCATTTTTGCAATTATTAACTTTCCACGGTTACTAATTCTTACAGACAATCACTCTTGTGGCATTTATTTTGTTTCTTCAAAATGAAAGAAAATTAATTTTGAAGAAAACGAAAAAATGAAAACACAAAAAGAAATTTTGATTAAGAAACCATTGTAAGCAACTGACAATGTCAAAAATCTTATGAATTCAGTTATACGCCACAAAGATCGGTTAGAATAATTTTCTCACTATTTTCAGTTAGGTTTACAACAGCTCGTCAGACATGATGGAACTTATTTTGCTTGAAATATAGTCCAATCTCTTCTTACTAAATATTCAAGTTTCACATTTGTACGTTTAGGCCATTTTTTTGAAGGAATCTCTAATTTGATTAAAACCTAAAGTTAGATTACTATTTGCAACTGCTGATGGTGAGCATTCGCTATGTGTTTTCGATTCTCGTTACTTTTCTCTGTAATCTACACTCTAAAGTGTAATAATGTGCAGCTTATTCCTGCACGAAAATATAGTCTCAGAACTGCTTGATATTATAAAAGTAAAAAAGCGTAGCTCAGAAGGATTTTAGCAGAAAAAGTCAATATATTATGTGTCGTTATCATAAAACAACTATACAATAACAGTTATGAAGGGTTAACTTTGACCTTATGCAAGTTTGAAGCAGTAAAAAAATAATTTTTTTATGATGATTGTGCCGCTTTTTACTTCTCATTTTTGGTAAAAAAATTATTTTAAAAAGCATTTCCTAGGGTGAAAACGCGACTTTAAGTCGAAAGTGAAATACTCTTCAGTGTGACCGCGAGAATGAGGGAGTGAAATAAAATGTTGATTAAGCCATTCGAAAGAGCATCAATAACTGAGTAAATTAAATATAGTCTGGGAATTAAATAAAAGAATCTGATTCATCTTTCAATCGAAAAACCGACATCATTCAGGATAATTCTTTCTGAATTGTACCGCCATTACCTAATGTCTGTAAAAAGGAAAATAATGGAATGAACAGCAAAATGCGTAGAAGATAAACACAAAAGTGGACTGTTTTAAGTGCACTCGTACCAATGAATTCCATTAGACATTGCCGAGTCGAAGATATATCATAGGTCGAAAAGCCTATTCACAATTCTACTCTAAGCTTTCAATAAAGTTGTGAAAAAGTCTCAGAACCGGTTGATATTATAAAAGTAAAAAAGCGCAGCTCAGAAGGATTTTAGGAGAAAAAGTCAATATATTATATGTTGTTATGGTAAAACAGCTGTACGTGATTAGCACACTTAGTATTTCCAGCGGAAAACTGCTTTGATGCACGAACTCGGTCCGTTTTTCTTAGTGTGTGGGTATTCCGAGTCGCAGAGGATAGAGCTAGTCGAGTAGTTCTATCGTACATACACCTGGCATAACCAGTGCATAGATGGCGCCACATGCGGATTTTTCTAAAGGCTTGACCATGCATTTTTTCATATTTGAGGTATAAAAGTTGTAGAACACGTTATTATTTATTTATTCTCGATTGCAAAGAGAAAGGGACAGACACAAGCTGTAGGCTTATGGACGCCTATCCCATGGCACACAACTACACACACAAAGATAGATAACATCTGGTGCTAAGCTGTTTTAGTCTCTTATTGTCCAAATTAAGAAACTGTGACTTATGACCAATGTAGAAAAATTATATATTTCAGTTTGAAATAAGTGTTTGCGAAAAGAATGCCATGTTGTTGAAAAAGAAATAAAGGGAAAACGGGTCAAAGTCGTACATTCTACCAACGTTTTCCAGAAATATTTCAATCGGGCAATTTTTCTCCGTGGCGTCAAGCATTGGAGTAGGCAAGTTTCTGAAACTTCTGGACAAGAAGAGACAAAGTCGCCACTTGTGATATGAGCAGCCAGACATTGAACTGAATTTAAGTTGAGTTTGACGTGGCTGAATTTTGATTTTATCGCGTTTGAACGGAAAGGGATGTACCCTTTAAACGGATGTATTCTTTGAAAGCAAAAGACACAAACGATTTCGGCCTTGCCAAAAGGCTCTCATCAGGAAGCATTTAGTATTTCTCCCACAAAGTGCTTTCGATTCTTACGGCACAGAATGAAGTTCACATCTTTATTTTCTACTAACGAGGGAAGGTCCCCAGGTGTTTTCCTGGGATTTCAAAGCAATGTAATCCACTTTACTAATTTAAGATGCTGACTACGAATCTCGTTGAATCCTTCAAGAGTTATAAGCATTTTATTTTAATAGTAGCGAAAAGTACCGTATTTTGAAAAAATCACAGCTTTTCATAGAAATATTCAATAGAGCTGAGAGATATGCCATTCTATAGATAAACACCTTAGCTATAAAATAATATGTGTTTTAACTTTAGAGAACGTTTGATTGTTAAGGAAAAAAAATTTTAAAACGTTGCACATTTTCCACTTGTTTTATGTTTCTTTTTGAAAATGTTTAGAAAAATTTGCCATATATTAACACAAGATTTCATCCTGTTGCATCATAGCAGTCATTGTGCTATAAAGCTATACTACTTGAGTACTGATATAGTGAGTATATTCGTAAATAGACTGAAAGTTATGTACTGTATAATGAATATATATGGTGCAATAAACAAAGAGGGAGTGATGGAAATATAACAATAGGAGTGACAGATATATTGAACATATGCAAAGACAGAGAGAGTGAAGGATAGAATGAATGAAGAGAAACGTACAGAATACGCACAAAGAAAGAGTGAAAAAAGAATAAAAGTTCATTATGCAAATATAGTCCAACACATATTTTGAATGCAGATCAAAGTTGTTTTCAGTACGAAAGACCCTCAACTCGAACGCTTTCTTTTGAAGGAGAGAAATCTACTTTGGGTCTGGTACCATCACAAAATGCAGTAACCCATTCATATACAATCATGCCTATAATTAGTATGGACGGCTGTATCGTTGGTCCTATTTTCATATGCCTACAGGAATCAACAGAAAGATTTGGTCCAAGAGTCTTAAAAACAATATATCAAGCATCAAATATCCACGTGACATGCAGTAAATCAGGAAAATTAACAAAATCTCATACTGCATATTGGGCAAAAAATGTATTAAGACCTTCATTATAACACAAATGTTTGCTTTTGGTCGATTCATGGTCGGGGCAAACAGATGATGCGAGTTATAAAAAAGCATTTCTTGACCAAACTACTTGTGAAAGAATGGATATTCCACTGAAAACAACAGCCAACATACAACCATGTGATCAATACTTATTTAGACAGTGGAAAAATTTAAGACAGGAATGTTTTGATCGTGTAATGATTGACCAGTTACCTATTGATATGCGTTCAAAAAATAATAATCTGAAGATGCATTCACTTATACATAATCAATTGTCATTAAGAAAATTTCGGGTAATGATCCAGTATGCGTGGTATGTCTGCAGTTATCGCTCAGAAGATCCTGGCAAATTTGAAAATGTACAAGAAGTTTGTTTTTGCTTTGACGATGACTATTGTTTAATAGCTTCTTGTATTGAAAGTCCGTTTATTTGTTGTAGCTGGTGTGAAGAATTGCTTTGTTTTGAACATTTTTTTTTACATGACCATAAGCATTTCTAGATATAGCGTTGTATGTAAATCTGTTTTTCTCAAGTTTAATTTGATTAATAATTTGATAATTGATAATTAGAACTTTTATAACTTTAAATAATATAACTTAATTTGATTAATATAATTTTAAATTTTATAATTAGAACTTTCGCTTTTTCGTTGTTGCTTCGTTTTTATGGTCTCAATCAGAAAATTTTCTATCTACGATATTGAACAAGTTGTCACTACGACTGCCATGATGCAACAGAATGAAACCTTGTGTTAATATATGGCAAATTTTTCTAAACATTTTCAAAAAGAAACATAAAACAAGTGGAAAATGTGCAACGTTTTAAAATTTTTTTACTTAACAATCAAACGTTCTCTGAAGCTAAAACACATATT